TGATGTCATTTCTCTCACCAAGACCTTATTTTCCAGCTACCAATGTCTCTTGTATGTTTCTAACTTTCATATTTCAATCACAAGGTATTAACAATGCATCTTGACTGGATATTTGATCAATCTTAGGCTGCAGAAGTTGGTAAAAATCCTCAATTTCTTCATCTTTGCCTTTATGGTTGGTGCATATTTTTTCAGTAATAATATTAACTGGTCTACCTAGTAGTACAATGTCCAAACACTGTATTATCACAGATATAAATAAAGCCCACAGAGGGCACAGCTACAGAGACTTCCCAGAAATATCTAAGCAACTCACAGGATTGATTTCCTGTGTTAAATGGCTTAGGGACATAGTCTCATGGGAAAACACAGTCTCATGGGTCAAATGGCACAACATAGTTCATAAAGATAATGTTTGACATCTTAGTTTAGAGAACAGCATCTGCAGTCTTAAAAGCTTGCAAGTGGTCATCTAAAATGCAACCATTGGTATGTACCCATCTGGAGCAAATTAGAATGAAGGAAACCAAAGACTCAAAGAAGAAACTAGGCCACAGGACTAATAGCCCACAGGAACCACAACTTCTGAGATCTGAAGAACGAGATGGTGCCTGGCTACCACTACTGACCATTCTGACCAGGGAACAATAGACAGTCTGAGACTTAATGGAAGAAAAATGCAGAATAAAATTCAAATTCCTACAAAAGGCCAGACTTATTGGACCAAAAGAGACTAGAAGAACCTCCAAGATTATTGCCCTAAAATATCTTTAGAACTTGGAATTGAAGCTATTTCTGGAGGTCACCTTTCAGCCAAATAATAGATTGTTGTTGTTGTTGTTATTATGTGCCACGGAGTTGGACCCGACTCATAGTGACCCCTCCTTGGGTTCCCGATGCAGTATCACTACGGAAGTAGATTGCCCCATCTTCCTTCTGAGGAGTGCCTGGTGGGTTTGAACCACCAGCCTTCTGGTTAGCAGTCAAGTGCCTTAGGCACTACGCTACCAGAAATCCTTCTATAAACAATAATAGTTGTCAATAATGTGCTTCCTTAAAAAACCTACTATATGAGATCAAATACTCAACATTTACTCATAAGCAAACATGAGAAGGCAAAAAGAGGAAAAGATGCTAAATCAATGGGAACAGAACAAACATAAGGCAAATAATGAGAATCTGACACATTGTGAAAACTGTGAATCTGTTCCAATGCCATGGAACAACTATATAAAATATTTTAAAAGCAAACCTAATCTGCTATGTAAACTTTCACCAAAAACACAATCAAATATTTTTCACAAAATGGAATAAAATGGGGATAATATAGATCAGGAGTTGACAAACCAGAGCCTGTGGAACAAATCTAAATATAAAGTTTCACTGAAACAGTCATGTATGTATGACGATGAGGAAGATATACGGTCCTTAGAGTCTATGTGGCCCTTTACAGAAAAATAAGGTTACCAACCTGAATATGAATCATAGGGGTGATGAAATGATAAATAAAATGTTGCATGTAAAATGCTTGGCCTAGCACCTGGTTTATGAGTAAGCATATAACATCGGAATCAAAATTAAAAACAGTGTAATGGCACATTCTGCCATTTTAAGTATTTTCTAAGGAAAACTTGCATTATTAATCTAAGCAGAAAAGTTGTTAAGATTTGCTCCAGAATGTTGCTTATATTCCTTACCATCTTCATTAATTACTTAATAAAAACTAGTTTCTTTCTCCTTCAATGATAACTAAAAATGTTAACAAACAAAATAAACAGTCTTAGAATCTGAGCTATAATAATAACAATAAAAATAATAATGGAAATTTACATATCAAAAGAAAAGTTCTCTTAGGTGTACAATTGCCTTACATAAAGGAGAATTACTACATTTTTAACAAAGTGTTACTCAGGATTCTTACATAACATATGCAACCAAAATTCCAATTTATTATCAAGGAAAGATTTTTAAACAACTTATTCAGATTACTGTAATTATTTAGAACCA